ATATTTTTTTTTTTTTTTTTTTGTGGCTCGAAACTCCACAATTAAATGTGTTTAACTTGGAACAATTCTATGTTGCGTGACCTCCTAGGAATTTTCCTAGAATGCATGTGAGTGAAGACAAAACATATTGGAAGGACTCGTGTTGGTTTGTGGGGATCATTTTCACTCTTAAGATGCGAGTTGGTATGTGAGGATAGTTTTTACTCTTAAGATGCAAGAAGTAGGTAAATGTGACCACGTGGTAAGAGATAGTTTGTAAGTTCATCAAATTGAGTTGTCGACTCAGAATTCTCGGCCCGATTTAGCTTTCAATTCAAGGCATAGCTAGCGGCATAGGACCGACTCGACGTCAGCAACTCAAATGATTTAACATGGTATCAAAACAAATGTCTCGTAACCCTTTCATTTTGACGAACAAACCACTTTATTCTTGAACTCACATAAATTTCAATATGAATGAGTATATATGATCTCCAAAAAAAAGTGAAATCTTTACCCTACATTCTCACAAAAAGTCAATAAAACTTGGACAATAAGATACTCATATCAACATCAACCACAACAAAGATACTCATTTCTAACACGAGTTTTGAATCTTTAAAATTAATCATGAATTTAATGGGTCAAATTGAGAAAATTTACAATCAACTTTTTGAATTACATATATGATTGGGAAGAATTCAATCACATTCATCTTATATTCTCTGCATACAAATGAAAAGGACACTTCTTCATAGGGTATATAGGCTACTCTAAATATAAGAAAATGATACTCACAATGGCTATGTAGGGAAGCAATGATATCAAGATCACAAATTATGCCATGACTTTATGCTACACAACTTGGCCCAGGGCCGTCCCAACCTGCGGGCAAGACCAATTTTATTGTTAGTACAATGTTTACAAAATACTCATGAACTTTTAAAATTAGTATTAACACTCTTAACTTTTATAACAAAGTTTTTAGTGTCAATATATAGATATAAACGGTCTATCTACCATCTCATAAATCATCTCTTTCAACTTTAAGGGTACTAAAGATAAAAATTTATGAGCATTCTTGAAATGTAGTGTTAAGAATTCAGTTTATATACTGACGATTAAAAATTAGAGTATTTTTAAACTTTTAAGGGTACGTATTATTGAAATTCTAGAAAGTTCAATGTATTTTTTTTTTTAGACAAAGCTTAAAATCCACCCGTATTAGGCTGATTTTGTGTAATAAATGAATTTGTATTCTATGAGATTAAACAACCTTATGAATCAAATGCTTGAATAAGTATCGAGAAAACGTCATCTTCCTTCAAAAATTTGATTTTCTCGAGAACTGATCGTTCAATTTTTATTCGAGTGATCGATGACAGACTCGTCATGTATGTCAACGTAATGTGGTATTTATTATCTATCAATATGGGAAATAGAAGTCAAGAACAAACCATTTTCTAGCTTGAACTAAACAATTTAAGGACCACAATGATAGGGAATAGTCCCTAAAAGAAGGAGAATTAGGGATTACAAAAGATTCTAAGCATTTGGTAGGAGGGTATCTCTAAGCCCTTAGCCTATCAACTTCATTTGAAAATATTCGTTGCATAAAGTTTATTTCATGTAGTTTTCAAATAATCATCACTATTCATTTCATCTCGGAATTACTTCTACTTTTCATCTCTAACGAATCTGAAAACGATTCTCATGGCCGATGTCTTAGTCCCTTTTCGCTCTCGAAATTACTTCTATTCCTCTCTTTAAGTTTTTTGTTAATAAAAAAATAGTGAGTTTCGAATTAGAGTTCCCGTTGAAGATATGCATGGGTCGTCACAGGATCTGCTCAAGTTGTTATTGTTCGGGTTCGTGAGGGGCTTACACATACGGGTTTTGAAGTCGTGGGTTCATGATTACTGTTTGATGTGATTTGGTGCATTTGTCGATGAGATATTAATGAACCCAAGTAAAAAAAATGGTACATGAATGAACCAATGCCACATTTGAATGAAAGTAATCTTAAGGATAAGATGACAAATAAAGACTTAAAAGAATTTAAAAGCACTATCTATATCAATAAGATGCACATTTTTTTTTTGTGCTCAATCATAAGAGCTCCATGAGATACATTTGAGTGAGAACAAAACATGCTTAAGAACTCGTGATTGTCTGTGGGGATAATCTTCACGCTTAAGAACTTGAAGAACTCGTGATAGTACGTGGGAATAGTTTTCACTCTTAAGAAGTGAGAAGTAGGTAACGTGACCACGTCGTGCAGGTGAATGTCAGGACCATCAGGTAATTCGAATTTGAAACCTAAACATGAATCGTTACACAAATCAAGTAGTGATCGAGTAAAATAGAAGGTTTCCTTTCTAGTTTTATATTTTTCTTCCCAAGAACTTATTTGTTCAAAAGTTTCCATCACCTTTGGAAGGTCCTGATTCTCCATCTCCAATTGTTTGGTGTCTTTTGTTCTTAGAACATCATGTGGTTGCTAAGGACCCAAATCATCAAACTTCCCTTTCAAATTCAAAAGATTTCCCACTTCCCAATTGACACAATGAATTCCCTCTTGGCTTGTTCCTTATAAAGAGCTCCTACCATTTCTTCTCTTTACAACACAATCATTCTCTTCACTTCAAACCCATTGAAGCTTTCCATTTGTTTTGCCACAAGATAGCACTAAGCAATGGCTTCAATGTCTGCTCATGGGTCAAGTGCATGGACTGCAAGAGAAAACAAAGCGTTTGAGAAAGCTTTGGCTGTGTTTGATCAAGACACACCTGAGAGATGGGTCAATGTTGCTAAGGCCATTGGTGGAAAAACTGAAGATGAAGTCAAGAGGCATTATCAACTTCTTGTGAAGGATGTTAAGCATATTGAGTCTGGTGAAATCAATTTTCCTTATAGAAGCTCTACGAGATTGTGCTGATGAACAAGGTAATATATGTTCGATAAACGGAAATCAAAAGCTTAAGTCGATGAGTTATGATAAATTTAACTATTTATCAATATTTAATACTTTTCTTACGTGTTGGCTTAGAGTATCAGATATTAACAGAAGAGGAAATGATACTACCAGAGTTTGAATATAAGACATCCTATTCTAATATTATGTTAATATTAGGAATCACGACTCTCCACAGTGGTATGATATTATCCACTTTGAGCATAATCTCTCGTGACTTTGATTTGAGTTTTCTCAAAAGGTCTCATCGGAGTAAAAATGTATTTCTTACTTGTAAACCCATGATCAATTCCTAAATTAGTCAACGTGGGACTTCCTCCCAAGAATCCTCAACAATAGTTAAATCATTAATGAGATAACTCTTTGTTATTATGTTTATAGGGTTGAAAATTAATAAAAGATTGTTTTTAAAAATCTATTTTTGTTTTTGATATTTGATTAAAAATTCAAATCAAACATAAAAATCGTGTATAACAGCTAAGTCTACCGTTGGCAGATATTATCGGTTTTGACCCGTTACGTATCGCCATCAACCTCACTGTTTTAAAATGCGTCTATTAGGAAGAGGTTTCTATACCCTTATAAGGAGTGCTTCGTTACACTCTCCAATCGATGTGGGATCTCACAATCCACCTCCTTGAGGGCCCAACATCCTCGCTCGCACACCACCTGTTTTCTGGTTTTAATACCATTTGTAATAGCCCAAGCCCACATGTAGATATTGTCCGTTTTGGTTTGTTATGTATCGCCGTCAGCCTCACAATTCTAAAACACGTCTACTAGGAAGATGTTTCTATTAAGAAACATAATATCCTAACCAAATATTTGTTTTTTTTTCTCAGGTCGTGAGAAACATGAAGATCAATGGAGCTAAGCTCATGCAGTAATGGAAGAATAAAGGAAGGAAAACGAAGAACCATTTGCTTCCAATTGTACTTCTAACTGTAACGTAGCATTGAACGAATAAGATTTCTTGGTGTTTTCTTTTTCAAAACTATCATCCATCTCCAATTTTGGCCTTCCAAAGTTGATCAGCAAATACTACTAATAAAAACAACTAATCAATCCATCTATACATTATGATTATTATTTTCGAAGAGATCCACCTTAGACATTGTATATTTTATTTCACCTCAGAGTTAGTTTAAGGTAAGAGTTTTTAGAAAATCATATGAACAAAATACTACGTCATTCTGTCTTTAAAATAAAATGGAGAATTTCTTAAATAGTTACGAACGGAAGGAAATTGATAATCGTAACTATGTTCATTTTCAATGAGAGAGCTTTAGTTCTTGACTAATTACCAAAAGTTAATAATCAAGACTCCAATAGGGAGCCAAATTATGTGACAACTAGAGCTAGTTGCATGATCTATTGTAGTTTGGAATTAGCTCGAGCTAATTATGTTAGATAAACTCACTCAATACTGAAAGTTATTATAAATTGTTTCACTAATAATGAGGGGTATACGAATGAACTAACATCATATTCAAATGAGAATAGTTTTAAAGATATGATGATTAATAAATGCTTAAAAAATGATAGTTACTATGCATATACTAATAAGGTGCATCGTTTTTACTTTTGTTTTTCATAGTTCAATCATAAGAACTTTAAATTTGAGTGTGCTTAATTTGGAGCAATCTTGTCTTTAGTGATCTCTTAATTTTTTTTAGAAAGCATGTGTGTAGAAAAAACATGCTAAAAGAATTCGTGTTAGTTGGTAGAGATTGTGAGATTCCACATCGGTTGGAGAGGGGAACGAAACATTTCTTACAAGGATGGGTAAACTTCTAACTAGTAGACACATTTTAAAATGTTGATGGAAAGCTTAGAAGGGAAAGCCTAAAAAGAACCGTATCTGCCAATGGTGGGCTTGAGTTGTTAAAGATGATATCGAACATCAGGCGATATGTCAATGAGAGCGCTCGGCCTCCAAAGGGGTGGATTATGAGATCTCACATCGGCTGAAAAAGGGGTTAGTAAGAATGCAGGGCCTCAAACGGCTGGAGAGGGGATGTCACATTTCTTATAAGGGGGTGAAAATCTCTCTCCAGTAGACTTCTTTTAAAAACGGTGAGACTGACGACAATACGTAACGGGTCAAAACGAACAATATAATATCTGCTAGCGGTCTTTCCTGGAATGTATGGGCCAAAACAGACAATACAATATCTACTAGCGGTCTTTCCTATTCTAACTTTCATACCATTTTCTTAAAAAACTCAACGAAATAAATAGAACTCATTAATATAATCTAACCCATATGAACTCTAAAGCTAGCTTTAAAATAATGTTATATGAACCAATAAATTTTGGATTCTAACCATCCATTGTTTCTTCAATATACTAAACATGTACAAACAAAATTTCAGGATTCGATGTTAAAGTGAATCCTCTTTTTTCCTCAATAGAATCAAGTGAAGTGTGACAAGTCTTGCTATATAGCCCAAGTTGCACCTAAACATCCATATGCCTTTGTTCTTCTAGCTTGCCTATATATTCCAACACATAAATTGGTTAGTTTATGTCGAATTTAGGGCAAAAAAAAATCGAGATGGATGCATAGAGACGAGGGTTTCATTCAAAAAAATTTCTAATATGTATACGAACAAAATACTGATCTATGCAATCTTAAATCATAAATTCAAATAACTTAGATAGGTTAAGCTAAAATAAATGTAATTTGAATAAGATATAATCTGATTATGTGTTCGGTAGCTCAATTATAGGAACTCCATAGTTAAACGTGTTTTGTTTGAAGCAATTCTCGGTCGGGTAATATCTTAGAAATTTTCTCAGAATGCATGTAAGTGAGGACAAAGCATCCTTGAAAAGCTAGTGTTGTCCTAAAAACAAGGAATAAATAATGTGACCATGTCACAAGAGATGCCCGAAAATGTCGGGACCATCAGGTATTGAATTCAAATTGTGAATCCTAGGTATGAGTCGTTACAAATTTAAATAACCTAACATAACACGTTAAACCTAATTAAGTTGTATTGATTTCTTTTGTTGGTACCTAAAGAGGACATACCTTGTATACATATATATGTCTATTGAAAAAGAGTATAACTTGTACGTGCCATGAATTCTCCATGTTAAGCAAATAAAAAGTTTTGTACGTTAGCGGATATTGTCTGGTTTGACATGTTACGTATCGCCATCAGCCTCACGATTTTAAAATAAGTCTGCGAGAGAGAGGTTTTCACACTCTTATAAAGAATGTTTCGTTATCTTTTTCAACCGATGTGGGATCTCACAATCCACCCCCCTTGAGGCCCAACGTCCTCGCTGGCATATTGCTTGGTGTCTGGCTCTCATATCATTTACAACAGCCCAAGTCCACTGCTAGGAGATATTGTCTATTTTGACTTGTTACGTATCATCGTCAGGCTCACGGTTTTAAAATGCGTCTAATTGAGAGCATTCAAGTAGGTTTATTTATATCTTACGGAGTATTAGAATCTTGGATCATTAAACTTGTTCTTTATCTCGAGAGTTTTGATCTTAACACGTCTAACCTATTTTTTTTTTATTCCACATGCTAAATATGTCCCAACAAAATTTTTTAATTCTATGTTAAGGTCAATAGAATAAACTCAAATGTGACAAGATATTCGTGTAGGGTTGGGACTATCCTTGGGCAAGTTGCAGCAGTAAAGCACTAGTAGGACAACCAAGCTTTTGCGATTCTGATGCCTTTATTTGCCCTAAGCCTATTTCATATTCCAACAGATATTTAGTCTAACCCTATACCTTATGAGTTGTTTCCTTTTCTTTTATAAGTAGAGAATATAATGTGAGTATGATTGAATTCCCCCAATCATATACAATTCATAAAGTGGGCATATAAATCAATAAATTATTCCCAATTTGATTGAAGTGTACAACCTTTATGAGGGACTATATTGATATTCCAAAACTAATGGTTGTTTTTTTATATAAAATCATTTCACTTGCTAGTGTAATGCCCCAGGTCTAGGATTCGACATTTGATAACTCCGACATTTTCCAGCATCCCCTGTTTGATGGTCACATTACTTACTTCTCTTTACATGCTTCTTATGAAAATTCCGAACAGGTCATTCGACGTAGAATTGTTGACTTGGAAATTCTTATGATTGAACCACCGAAAAAAAAGGTGAACCTTACAAGAGTGTGGAAACCTCTCCCTAATAGACACGTTTTAAAACCGTGAGACTGACAATGATACGTAAGACTTTAAAGTGGACAATATCTACTAGCGATAGGCTTGGACTATTATAATGGTATCGGAGCCAGACATCTGGTGGTGTGCGAGCGAGGACACTGGGCCTCCAAGGGGGAGGGATTGTGAGATCGCACATCAGTTGGAGAGAGGGAAACAAAACATTTATTATAACAGTGTGGAAACCTCTCCCTAACAGACACGTTCTAAAACTGTGAGGTTGATGACGATAAGTAACGGGCCAAAGCGGACAATATCTACTGGATAATAACTTTCAATTCTTTTAAACCTTTCAATTCTTATGATCATTCTCATTTAAATGCAGTCTTGATTCATTTGCATAAATCTCCTTTAATGAGATGTCACAGCTAATTTCTTTTAACTAGAAAACTCATATTTATTCTCATGACTTTAACTTCATTAATATTTTGAGGAAATTGTAGCACTAGTTTTACCATACATACCCTTTTCAAGCATCTCATTCTCCTTGAAATCTTTAATAATAATAAAAATATACCTTTTAGATGGACCTCTCTCTTGTTTTGGTGTGGTTTCTCATCTTTATTCCCTAACCTACAATCATCAAACAAAATAAATTGATATGTTCTAGTTTCTAAGTATATCAATTTCTTCAAAACATCATTATAATATTGCATCTTCTCAAAATTTTGGAAGCAAGATACTGATTCTCCATCTCCCAATTGTTGTGTTTTGTCCTTACTACATCTTGTGGTTTATAAACACCCAAATCATTGAAATTCCTTTTTCAACTACACAAAAAGATTTCCCTTTACCCCCCAACTTGGTTCATTACCCTTTGGCTTCCTCTTATAAAGAGCACCAAATGAGTAGCTCTTTGGCACAAATCCATTCATCTTTTCCTTGCAAAATTTGAATTCTTTTTCAAACCCATTAAAGCTTTCCCATTTTTGTGTTGTTTTTTTAGCCAAATCTCCTCAAACTTAGCAATATCATCAATGGCTTCAATGTCGGCTCATGGGTCGGGTGTATGGACTGCAAAGCAAAACAAGGCGTTTGAGGAGGCTTTGGCAATGTATGATCAAGACAGGCCTGATCGATGGCTGAATGTTGCTAAGGCCATTGGTGGAAAAACTGAAGAGGAAGTGAAAAGGCATTACCAAGTTCTTGTGGAGGATGTTAAGCATATTGAGTCTGGCAAGGTTCCTTTTCCTTATCGAAGCTCAAGAGGCAGCTAATGCTACTCATTGATGATGATTAAGGTAAATTGGATCCACCCACCTTGAGTTGGGTCCAAATGAATTCAGATAAATAAAAATTTTATGGGTTAAGTTATTTATGTATCTGCTTAAAACTAGGTTAAGTTTGAACATAATTGAACGAATTTTTTTATTATTTATTGTTGGATAATTCTTAAGAACCATTTTAAAACTATTTAGAAGGTAATTTTTCAAAATAGATATTCAATTTGAGTGGTAAATAGACTTAAATAGATATTTTATCAGCTAATATTTTACTTTTATTAAAAATAAAAAAATTAAATAAATGACCTAAACAAACGTGAACCAATAGGACCCAAAAAAATTTATGGTTGGGTTGAGTTTATTATTTAATAAGAGTTATTGGTTGAAAAAAATGACAACTCGAACAATTAGGTTAAGGTTATGTCTAAAAAATGTCACAACCCAATCAAACCAAATGCAAAATGATCTATAAATGAACTGTGAGTTTTTCAGTATAGATTGAGAAAAAACTTTAAAATCTCAGCTTTTTGTATAGTATTTAAATGTACGATGAATGGAATAGTTGTCTGATGTCCTTGTTAAAATATTGATATAATTAAATTTGTGATGACCCGAAAGCTCGAGTTTATTTTTTTAAGCTGATGCTACATGTTTCAATAAGAACACTAAACTCAGCCATTAGTTCTTGAGTTTACACAATATTTATTGTTCCTTTGAATTTTGCAGGATGAGAAACATGAAGTTCCATTGAGCAAGCTCGTGCAGTGCTGGAAGAATAAAAAGAAGAAAGCCATTTTCTTGCTGATCTATCCATTTTTCTTTCTCTTTTTTTTCTTTTTTTCTTTAGAATTTTCATGAAAAAATTTGAAGTTCTCTGTCGTTGTATCCCTTAAAATGTAGTTGTAACACTCGAATGAATATGATTTCTTGGTGTTAGTACCACTCATCAACAGTTTTGTCTGGCCCTTATGAGTTTATTATTCAATCAAACCACCAATATTATGATTTTTGAGATTGAGGGTTTTGTGTTTAGTTTACAACATGGACAAAACTTAAAACACTTTGAATATTTGAACATTTAGAATATTTAGATTTACAATGGTTGGGTAGGCTTGAATCACTTTGATTGGAGAGGAGAATGAAACATTTTTTTTTATAAGGGTATGAAAATCTCTCTTTGGTAGATGCGTTTTAAAAACCGTAAGGCTGATGACGATACATAACAGGCCAAAGCGGACAATATCTACTATAGCGGTGGGCTTGAGCTGTTACAAATGATATTAGAGCCAAACACCACTGGGCGGTGTGTCAACGATGATGCTGGCCCCCAACGGGGTGGATTGTGAGATCCCACATCGATTGGAGAGGGGAACAAAACATTTCTTACAAGGGTACAAAAACCTCTCCCTAGCAAATGCGTTTTAAAACCGTGAGACTGATGACAATACATAATAAGCCAAAATGGACTGACGGTAGTGGAATACCGAGAGAGATGAAGATTAAGAACCCGAGTTAAGTTGTGCCAAAAGTAGCCTATAACCACATTCAAATATAGAAGTTGAGTTCTATTGCTTGTTCTAGAAGTGATCAAGAAGTAGAAAAATTGATTAAAAGCCAAGATATGCTCAAGACTTCATGCTTTTAACTTTAGTGACTACAATCATAGCTCTTTTCATGTATTTGATTTATGTATGAAAATTAGTATTGTTATGTCTATATAAAAGCTTGTCTCTCATTATTTTGAAACGTAGAGTCATTGTCATTTTGTATTTGCCTGGAGGCAATTGGGAGGAACTTTGTTGAGAGACTTTGAGTACAAAAGTATGAGAGATATACTTATAAACCCTTTGGTTATAGTGATTGGCTATCACCCGTCGATGTAGAGAAATTTCTATCTCTGAACCATGTAAATCTTTGTGTCTCTTTGTTTAATTTCTGTTCATGGGTGTGTGAGTGTGATCGATCTTTCTTCCGCTTCCGCTACAAGAAGTGGTAAAGAGCGTTGAAAATTGTGACACAATGGCATAACACTAGCTACTCAATTCAATTCGCGATTTTGAATTAGGAGATGATTTTCAGCGGTGACCCACACCTTAAACAACATTAGATCCGATTAGCCATAACCAGTAGAGTTCATAATATACAATTTCAAACGTGTTTGAACACGAACCAACGAGGGTTTCAGTAAGAACTAGTAGGCAACGATCTATTTAAACTTCTATCGGATGGAAGAAAAGTGTTTTAGAGTCTTTTATAACCTTTAGATCTTTGTGTTTTTAGCTGTAGACAAGTTTTAGATGGATCGAAAAAGAATTAAGAACGACATTGGAATAAACACTAGCTAGTAACACTAAATTATGATTTGGATTGATTAATAACCTTTAAACTAAGCTTTAGGATCATTTTTAATAAGGTTATTAAAAAAGATTTCTCTCCTTCTTAGTGAAATATGAACATATTATCATCCAACTTGAACTAAATATTCAAGGTCCATACTTGTAATGAATATAGTTCCTACAAGAAATGAAAGATTCGAAGATATAATTATTGCTTTCAATTGGAGGGAAGAATTGGGGATGATAAAGATTCTAAGCATTGGTTGGAGGGTATGTTTAAGTCCTTGGCCATCAATTTCATTTTGAGGAGATTCCTTGCAAGAGTTTATTTCATGTAGTTTTCAACTAATATTGGTCATAGCTCGAGCTATAACCCTAATATCGACTCCTATATTCATTTCTAACGAATCTCACGTTACTTCAACATGTTGTAAGTTGTCATCTTATTCTTTAATAGCTTTCTTCTTCTTTGAACACATTCATTTTGATATAGATCTTGTCAAGTCAGTGTGGAAAAATGATAAACGTTCTTGTAAAAACTTCATTGAACCCAAAAACTGACAATTTAATCTGAGAGGGAAATGACATTAGACTTGATGTTGTAATACTCGAGTAAATTATCAATGAACCGAGAGATTTAATCTGATAAGATATAAAAATGTGAGATCTCATATTAGTTGGAGAAGGGAAAGAAACATTTCTTGTAAAGATGTGAAAATCTCTCTCTAGCATATGCGTTTTAAAATCGTGAGGCTGACAGCAATACGTAATGTGCCAAATTGGACAATATTTGCTATCGGTGGGCTTGGACGGTTACAAATGGTATCAAAGTCAAATACCAGGCGGTGTGCCAGCGAGATGTTGACCCCTGCGGGGGGTGGATTGTGAGATCCCACATAGGTTGGAGAGGCGAACCAAACATTTAAAAGCATGGAAATCTTTCCCTAGCAGACGTGTTGTAAAATCGTGAGACTAACAACGATAGTAACGGGACAAAACGAACAATATTTGCTAGCGATGGGCTTGAGCTGTTACATAAAATTTGTAATATTCTATCTACATTTTAATGGGGTCTCAACTTGACTATTCTCATAGACCAACTGTTGTAACAGAAGCGGAAGCAAGATCGATCAATCTCACACACCCACAAACATAAATTAAACAAAAAAGACAAAAATCTACGTAATTCAAAGAAAAGAAATTCTCCTGTATTCACGAATGGTACAAAAGACTATTCCCCATATGCTTTGGGACTGTCCTAGCTAGCTCACAAGTTGCAACTAGCCGTAAAATAATGGCAGGACAACCATAGCTTTTATGATCCTTATGCCTTTGTTTCCCCAAGCTACGCCTATTATATTCCAATAGATATTTAGAGTAGCCTATTGCTCATAAAGTTGGGTCCTTTTCTTTTCTAGGTTGAAAATATATTGTGAATGTGATCAAATACTAAAGTTTTCAAGAATAAACAACAAATTCTTTTCAAATTGAATAAAATATATATTTCCTTTCGAAGTACTATTAATATTATAAAAGTTTAGATTAAAAATTTTGTTGTATCTAATAATTTCAATTTTTGAAATTTATGGATCAATATCCGATAATAGTAGTCTTGACCTGTTACAATGGTATCAGAGCCAGACATGAGGCCGTGTGTCTACAAGATTTTCATTTCCTAGAAAGAAGGACTCTACAAGAGATTTTGATTCTCTCACCGTCTCCAATTGTTGTGTGTCTTTTGTTCTAACAACATTTTGTGGTTTCTAAGGACACAAATCATTAAAATTCCTTTTGTAATGTCAAAAGATACCCTCAGCCTTTCCAGCATATATATAAAGAGTACCCACAGCCTTGTGTTTGGTACCCATCATAAGACTTTAGAGGCCTCTTTGATTCTAACCCCTTAATTATGGCTTCAATGTCTGCTCATGGGTCAGCTGGTTCATGGACTGCAAAGCAAAACAAAGCCTTTGAGAAGGCTTTGGCTGTGTATGATCAAGACACACCTGAGCGATGGCTCAATGTTGCTAAGGCCATTGGTGGGAAAACCGAAGAGGAAGTGAAGAGGCACTACCAACTTCTTTTGAAGGATGTTAAGCAAATTGAGTCTGGTGAAGTTCCTTTCCCATATGGAAGGTCCAGATGATTAAGATGAGGTAATATGTATAGGTTTTATTCAAAATTTAACGCGAGTTTGAAACGTTGGAAATGTCATTACAAACACTATGATAGTTTCCTTTGGATTTCACTCTTTTGCAATTCTCAATCGCTAAAACATTTTAGGATTTCTAAGATTAAATACTAGCCCTATGTAGTTTAGCGGGATCGAGAGTAAAAACCCAAGTGAGATGACAATTAATGGAGAATAATCGCGAGGGTAATTCTCACTTGTTTATAGTCGAAGTTGGTGTGGAAATCTATTTCCAGTAGACGTGTTTTAAAATTGTGAAACTGATAGTGATACGTAATGGGTAAAAATAGACAATATTTACTAGCGGTAAGCTTAGACTGTTATAAATGGTATCAGAATCAGTCACGGGAAGAGATCGTTTTTAAAGAGATTTTCATCGGCATTCTTGAGAAGAGAGAGCCCGAGGCTTGTTTGAACATTGATCAAGTTTGGTTTTTAACAAAATATTTCTCTTTTTCCTTTGTTCTTTTTCTCAGGATGGAGAAACATGAAGTTGGATAGAGGCAGCTCGTGGAGTGCTTGAAGAATAAAAGAAGAATGAACAATTTTGCTTGCTTTTTTGTGCCTTTTTAATTCTAATTGTACTTTTTCAATGGAATAAAAGGTTATTGCTTGCTCTTTTTTTCGAGGCACTTTCATATTTTTTTTAAGTCTTATTTTAAATATTTTTAAAATGTAGGAAAGAAATTTGAAAATAAACTAAAGCAATCTCACGACCAAATACAAATATAATTTATTTCAGTAAAATTTAATTAGGGATGTTCATATAACTCGATAAACTCATATGACTCAATAAATTGATCAATTCAGACTATTCAATCCAAACAATAAAAATTGGGTTGAATTAGAATTTTTTTCGGTTTAGGTTGGGTTTAATTTTTAGAAAACTGAAAAATTTGGTTCGGTTTCCAGGTTGACAATTTTTAAGACGGGTCAACCCGATCAACTTGAAAAATAGGGTTACAACTCAACCCTATCTTACTTTAAAAAAGATTTAAGAATATTTAACAAATGATGTTATTAGTGATGGGTAATGAGTTATAAATATTTGATATTTGAATTTGATGACATTTTAGTTATTAATGTAAGATATATTGTGGATAAATAATTTTTTTAAAAAAACAATCCGACGACCTATCCCAACCCAATCCGAAAATAGAGAGTTGAGTTTGGTTGTGTCGTGAACTCTATTCGGGTTACTCAAGTCACCAATCCAACAACCAAAAATTTTGAATTAATCTAAAAGATTTTTCCAACCCAATTCACGCCAACCTATGTACACCCCCAAATTCGGTAACATTCTCATACAAAATACCAAACACAAACATCGTTTATTTCGATGAAAATCTGATAATATTCTCATTCATAACTAATTTGATCATCTTTTAATCCAAAATATCTTATTTTCAAGCATCTTATTCGTATGAGTATTAAACTAAATCCGAGCTCGTTAGTGAAAAAGTGAGATTCAAAGTTCTATCTTAAAATTTTGTTCTCATGGCCAAATCATAAGCAAGGTTGACCATCCCATTCTTTCATTAGTTTGATATCCATCAAGCTAAGCTACGTGAGAATGAGATCAATTCTGAGGATAGAAGGATTAAGAAAGCTAAAATTTAAGATACATGAACTACAAAAATAAACTACAAAACCTAAAATTTAAGATACAAAAATATGACACCCGAGTAAAGAACAAATACATGAATAAACTGAGACTACATCTTAATGAGATCAATTCTGAGGATAGAAGGACTAAGAAAGGCTTAAAGAAGATGAAAGTTACTCTTTATATCAATAAGGTGCACCTTCTTTTTCGGTGGTTCAATCATAGGATCTCCATGGATAAGCTACTCGAAGGATTCGTGTTGGTCTACGGGGATAGTCTTCACTCTTAAGAAGCGAGAAGTAGGAACTTGACCATGTTGCAGGTGATGCAGGGAAATGTCGTGTGAAATCCCATATTGGTTTGAGAGGGAAACAAAACATTCTTTAGGGTGCATATAAAAACCTCTCGCTAGTAGACGTGTTTTAATATCATGAAACTGACGTTGATACATGTTTGGACCATCAGGTGCCAAAGAGATTGAATAATCGACTTTTGAGGCAGTAACTAATACGTTATTCACTAAATTATACTTAGATTTACAAGCTTAAACTCATCTTACTCCTACTACATAATACTTGAAACTTTGATCTACTTTGATCTTTAATATACATATATATATATATATATATATATATAACGACATTTTTGGACCCATGAATGTCAATATTATCATTCATAAAACCCTACAAATATGGACAAAAAAAGATTCATTGGGGTGCCATCTTTTTGTTCCCTTTTCCTTTATTTCTCTCTCTCTTAAGATTCTTCTCTCTACTTCAATGGTCTAATACATCCCGGAACGCAGCAATGATAGGCTTATGATCAGCTAAGAATGCCTCATTCAATATCACAAAAGCATTATTCACGTTAGAAACTACGAATCTCCACAATGATAATTTTGAGCATAAGCTCTCATGGCTTTATTTTAAACTTCTCGAAAAGGTCTCATACTAATGGAAACGTATTCCTTACTTATAAACCCATGATTAGTCCATAAATTAGCCTACGTAGGACTCTTCTTATAAAGGTGTGGAAACTTCTCCCTAGTAGACGTGTTATAAAATTGTGAGACTGACGGTAATTTGTAATGGGCCAAAATGGACAATATTTGCTAGCAGTAAACTTGAGCTCTTACAAATAATATTAGAGCCAAATACTGAGCGGTGTACCAACGGGGACGCTGGTCCCCAAGGGGGTAGATTGTGTGATCCCACATCGGTTGAAGAAGAGAACAAAATAGTTCTTATAAGCGTGCGAAAATCTATCTCTAATAGATATATTTTAAAATCGTGAGGCTGACGACGATATGTAACGAATCAAAGCTGAGAATATATGCTAAAATATGGTTTAAACTTGATAGAAAAATGAAGGTCAATGATAAGCATTCCTTTTCCAAGTTGAAGTAAATGTTCGAGGACCGCACTAGCAAGGAATAGTCTTGAATATTATGTCACCTTCAAATGGGAGGTGGAATAGGGAATCACAAGGAATCTAGGCATTGTTTGGAGCATGTGTTACCTTAGAGTTTGATAATCATGATTTTCGTCTTTTAATTTTTAAAATTTTGTTTAGATTTCAATAACGTTCTTACCCGAAAAAAATCAATGTGTTTATAAGTTTTATTTCTAAAAACTAAATGATTAACAACACCGTCCCAAATAATCACCTCCTTCGAAAGAGATTCTTAGAAAAAGTTATGTTTCATGTAATTTTCAGCTCATCATCACTAGAGATACCCTTTACCATCACATGTGGTCACCTTCCTTTTACTTTAGACATTTTGTGCAATTCAAACAAATGAAAAATGTTTTTAGAAAAAGAAAATAAAATTGATTAGGAATGAGATCAAAGTCCCAAAATTGACTAGATGAGGAGAAGAATCCCTAATATATAGGAAAAGGAAGGTTGACTAAGGACTCAATATTTGAATGAGAGCGATCATGAGGATAGGAGGACTAAGATCACTACTTATACGAACAAGGTGCACCTTCTTTTTTGGTGGCTCTATCATAGGAACGTTACCTACTTCTGACTTCTTAAGAGTGAAGATCATCCCCACAGACCAACACGAGTCTTTCTAGCATGCTTTGACCTCGCTACCATGCATCCCAAGAAAATTCCTAAGACGTCACCCAATATAAAATTGTTCCAAGTAAAGTATGCTTAACCGTGAAGTCTCTATGATTGAATCATCGAAAAGAAAGCCGCACCTTATTGGTATAAATAGTAACTTTCAATTATTTTAAATTTTTTTAATCATCATATTCTTAGGACCGCTTTTATTCAGATGTGATCTTTGTTCATTCATGAGAATGTTTGATTAATCCACCCCACCTAAATGGTGTGAAAGTTATCTTATTTATATTCAAATAAATTACAAGGATATGGAAAGAGTAATAATGAGAAATAACAATAAATGGAAAGATACTTATGGTAATGAGGCAAATATTAGATATTTGCCTTATAATAAAATATCAAATATAATATATATGGTAAACTATAATTTATTACTAAATATCCTTAACACCCCACCGCAAGCTGAGCGTCGGATTTGAACGAACGTGAAGCTTGGATCTGAAAAATTCAAAGAGGTTGAGAAACACTTTTCGTGAAGATGTCAACAACCTGGTTTAGAGGAGGTGTAGAAAAGCACTTTCTTGGCCATCGAAAATTGTAGTGGGATCGCCGCTCAGCGGCGATGTTGCCTTGGCTTTGGCGAGAATATGTCTAACCCATGAAGAGGGATTGTTGCTTAGCGACAATGCTACCTTGGCTCTGGTGAGAATATGTCGAATCCCAAGAAGTAGAAGGGGAAGCCTAGAGCAAGGGACAAAGACAATGTTGAAGCCGGAAGAGTCGCCACATTGGGCGAAGGAGCCAATTTTGGCGAGAAGGGCGGCGGCAACTTGGTTGGCGAAGAGGCCAGTGCGGCACGCAAATTCCAAAGGTAAATCTCTGCAGAAGGTTGATAGGTTTAGGTTAGGGTTTATGTGAAGGATGAAGGGAAAATTGGGAAAAAAATGAAAGAGACTATATTGGTGGAGGGAAAATCGATTGTGTTGGAAAAGGTGAGGTTGTATGTACAAAGTATGGCGAAGAATGATTTTGAGGTCAAAAGGGTGGAGCCGAAGAGTAATCAATCGGCTCTGCATGTGGCAACCATGACAACTGCCCCTGCGATTGAAAAGAAAGGATCCGGGTTGCTAAACCAAAATGGCTCTGATACCATAAGAATGTTTGATTAATCCACTACACTTAAATGGTGTGAAAGTTATCTTATTTATAATCAAATAAATTACAAAGATATGGAAATAGTAATAAATGAAAATAACAATAAATGAGAGATACCTATGGTAATCAGGCAAATATTAGATATTTGTCTTCTAATAAAATATCAAATATAATATATATGGTCAACTATAATTTATTACTAAATATCCTTAACAATTCATGTACCCTTTTTTACTCGGGTGTCACAGTTGGAGTCATTAGGTGCCAAATACTGATCCGAATCATGGGCATAGGGTCATTACAACAATCTTCACAAACCAACACAAGTCTTTTTAAGATGTTTTGTCTTCACTCATAATGCTTCTTATTAAAATCCTTAGAGATCGCCCAACATAAAATTAGTTCAAGCAAAACACGATTAATTTTGGTGTTTCTGTGATCGAGCCACGAGAAAAGAATATATATTTTGTTGGTATAGGTAGTAACTTCCAACTATGTTAAGCATTTCTTAGTCATTCTATACTCAGAATCACTTTCACTCAGATATGATATCGGTTCATTCATGTAGTATTTCCTTACTCTAGAGTGTCACAAATAAGTTTTGAATATAGATTCTATTCAAGTTAATAAACAAGACTCAAGTGTGACAATGTATTGCCCATAGACTTGGGGGCTGCCCTAGAGCAAGTTGCAACGTAAAGCCATCGCAGGACAACCCTAGCTTTTGTGATCCTTATGCCTTTGTTTCCCTAGCTTTGTATATCATAAATTCCAAGAGATATTTTTAGTGTAGCCTATTGCTCTCAAGTTGAGTCATATTCTTTTCTTGGAAGAGAATATAATAAGAATCTCAAAATCATATATATGACAACAAAAAGTTCAAATTATATATTGTAAATCTACTAGAAAAACACCTTATTTTGTCAAAATTCTTGATATTTTAGATCATCACTTAAATTAGACAAGAAGTAATGAAATTCTTATCATGATAAATTTTAAATGATAATTAAATTCTAGACACACGAGGAGTACTTGAATGAAATGGCCACATCTAAATAAACGCGATTTTGAAGATATGATGACTAAGAAAGATTTAAAAAATTGAAATTCACTACCTATACTTACAAGGTACACATTCCTTTTCGGTGACTCAATTATATGAACTCTATAGCTAAGCGTGCTTTACTTTGAGTAATTCTATGTTGGACGACCTCTTGAAAATTTTCTTAGGATGCATGTAAGTGAGAACACATCATGCTGGAGGGAGTCATGTTGGTTTGTGGGGACAGTCTTCATTTTTAGAAGCGAAAAGTAAGTAATATGATCATGTTGCACGAGAATGCACGGGCCATAAAAAAAATATATATATATTTAAGACCTCGTTTAATAACTATTTTGATTTTAATTTTAAAAAAAATTATATGATGCTCCTTACAATTTTCGAGTAAGCTTTCGATCTTAATTAAAAAAATCATTTAAATTTTTAGTCAAATTCTAAAAAAAAAATTATTTTTTCCTTTTTATTTTCAAAATTTGGACTTAGATTCCTTCAAGCAAAGGTGTTCCAAGTTGTATGAAATAGTTGCCAAATATAACTTTATTTTCTTGTGTTCTATTTTCAAAAAATGCATTCTTCAATCATATGATGGACCCATAATAATAAAGTGATAGATGTGTGTTATTTGTTATAGAAATCCACCGATCTTTACAATAATATGATATTATTCACTTTGAGCATAATCTCGCCTGAGGTTTTATTTTTGGTTTCCATAAGAAGATTTCATATCAATGAAGGTCGTGTCATCCTAATAAGAATTACTTCAAACAAAGGACTTAGTGTCTCCTTAAATGGTCATCGATCAGTTCACCTATTATCTAGGCTCTTCTACTCGACATTTGCTCGCTAATTAGGATTGCACACAAATGTGGCTAAGTCAATGGCATAACTCTAATACAAATCATTAAGAACAACGACAATGGACATAAACTTTTATTGTGACACTCGAGTAAATTAGGGATACATGAATGTACCAATACCATATCCGAATGAGATGGAACCTGAGAATAGGATAGCTAAGAAAGACTTGAAAAAATTAAAAGTCATTATCTATACCAACTAGGTGTACTTTCGTTTTCAGTGGCTCAATCATAGAAACTTCATGGTTAAACGCACTTTACTTAGAGCAATTCTATATTGGGTGACCTCTTAAGAATTTTTCTGGAACACATATGAGTGATGACAAAATATACTGAAATGACTCGTGTTGTTTATGAGAATAGTCTTCACTCTTAAGAAGCAAGAAGTAGGTAACATGGCCATATCGCAGGGAATGTAGAGGAATGTCGGGCCATCAAGTGCCTAAAACACTTTACATAATGCTGGTAGAATAGTTCTATTGGAGGGAAAATAACTCTTAGGAAGATACTGATTCTCTTTGTCCTTACTACATCGTATGGTTTCTAAGGAGACAAATCATTGAAATGCTCTTTCAAAGGAAAAAGGATATCTCATTGCCCAATTGGAGTTGTCCCACCAATCAAAAAGAGAAAAAAAGTGTTCGAAAATCGCTACAATGCGACCGATAATTCTATATCATTTAATGTACGAGACAGAAACGATAAAAAAAAATACTATAATTTGTATTCCATAACCAGGTGAACATAAATTTTAAAATCTAAATTTAATCGATATTATGAAGTAGTTATGCCGTAGTTAATTTTTTCCTATCAACCCTCTCGTTTCGTGCTTATAAAGAGCTTCCATTGCCCAGTCTTTGCCACACATCCTTCGTTCTAACCCTTTTGCCCTAATTTTTGTTGAACTTAGCATTTACCAATGGCTTCAATGTCTTCCCATGGATCAGCTGGTACATGGACTGTAAAGCAAAACAAGGCCTTTGAGCAGGCATTGGCAGTGTATGATCAAGACACACCTGACCGATGGCTGAATGTTGCGAAGGCTGTTCCGGGGAAAACTGTCGAGGAGGTCGAAAGGCATTATGCACTTCTTGTCGAGGATGTTAAGTTCATTGAGTCGGGTCAAGTTCCCTTTCCCTATCGAACCTCTGGAGGAGGTACCCAAGGTAAAATAAGTTTTTGGATTGATCGGTGATTTTACCTGATATTCAAATATGAAATTTTATGTTCAAATTTTCGAGATATCATTTTCTCGAGGCAATCCAAGCAACCCGAATACAATTTTCCAACTCAAACTTCTAGGTTGGGTTGAGTTGTCGGGTTGTTCTTTTATTATCAACTGATACATGTTATATTAATAACTAAAATCTCAAAGTTTAATATCGAATATTTAGATGTCAGCTCATATCACTAACATCAGTTACAAATGTTAAATGTTCCAAACCTTTTTTGTGAGATCCCAATATCGGTTAGGTAGGAAAACAAATCATTATTTATAAGAGTATGAAAATCTCTCCCTAGCGACGTTTTGAAAACATTGAGGAGAACTCCGAAAAAGAAAGTCCAAGGAGAACAATATGTGCTAACGGTAGATTTACAGTGGTCTAGGACGTTACACTTCTAAAAGCAGGGTATGGTTGGGTTGGATTGTAACCCTTTTATTGAGTTGGTCGAGTTGATGTAGACAAAAAAAAAAAAAAAAAAAAAAAAAAAAAAAAAAAAAAAAAAAAAAAAAAA